CTTCCCAGTAGAATGGAAGCTTCTTGAGGGCAGAGCCTGGTACAGCTACAAGAGGCAAGTATGTGCTACGTATGCAGCTAAATTAAACTGAATGAAATCCGGGTTAAATTCTGCTCCCAAGCCTTCGTTAAGCAGGAATTCATTCCGCAGCCTCCAAAACCTTCCCAGGCCCCTCCCAGGAGGATTCTTCTCCAGGACTTGGAAGGATCCCTACACGTCTGTGCCCAGCCCTGGGACTGAAACATGTGGTGGCCCCCTGAAGTCATCGGCATAAAGAATGGAACACAACTGGGTGGGAAGGATAAAAACCCCGAGGCAGATTTAATACCCAGATTTAATATGACCCGCTTCCTCTGGAGCTAATATTGTGTTGTCCACAACGGCCGCACCACATTTGAAGGAATACCATCATCAATCTGTGAAAATCCATTCTAGGGGGCAGGGAAGGGGGGCATAAAAATAAGGGTGAGGAGGGGCTAGGAAATCATCAAGCACTGTGCTAATTTTATATGACACAGAAATTAGTTTTCCTCATTGTGGGAAACGCTGACCCCTACCCCCACACCCCATTACCACCACCACCTCCTCCTTCTTTCTCTCCCTCCCTCTGCTATTCAAGTGTTCAGCTAATTTAAACCATTTGCTTAGAAAACTAATACTATGGCATTGTTCTCTCAAGGAAGGATAAAAAAAAAAGCCCAATGGTTTCCAGCTTCTATCTGATGTGCGGAGAACAGTAGATGCATAGACCAAATGTACGGTGACAAAATGACTTAATTACCATCTCATCCAGAGAGGCCTCTTTGTCAGAGCTACAAGTCATAATTTCACACAAAATAATGACCCAGATAAAGAGTAATGACTTCCAGCTACAGCAGCCACTAACTTGGGATCATTTTCTCATAAATGAATGGCAATTAACCAGTGTCACCGCTATATAGAAATAGGGACCGAGCTACTCATTAAGCAATTAAAATGAAAATATGAATCCTTCTGGGGACATTTAATTTCTGTAAATGTGCCCATCACTGGGGGCTATGAGCTCGGATCTCTGTCTAGGTCTATTCACACACGAACAAAATTCTCTACAATGGAGGAGAGTTGCTGACTTTGGAGAGGGGAAGAGGGCAGTGGGCTCCCCTCTCCTCCCAGTTGCTGGACCCTCTTTAAGCCCTTTCTGACAACAGAGAAAAGAGATGAGGATCCAAGGAGGACCCCTCCTTTTCCATTTTAACCCTGAAATGGGCCAAAATGCCCAAATGTCCTGAAATGGACAAACACACAGGCAGGAAGATCTCGGTCCATCAATTTCAACCCCATGTCCATCAAGCAGAGAAAGAGAGGGAAGGAACTCTACCATACTCCAGGGGTCAGAGGCAGCACAGTCCTTCTACTTCTAACCATCCATCATGAAATGAACCCTTTATAACTGCCGGCCACCATCTTTACTTATCTCCTACTGAAAGCAGCAGAGAATCTCAAATCCAAAGTTCCAGCCAACTTCCCTCTCCTAAATTTCAATATTTGGGGCAAATTGATTAGCAAGTCTAGACCTTAGTATCTGCCATATTTTTAGTGAAAAACTACCTACCTAACACCTATCTTCCAATCACCTATCTCCCAAGAGTGCAGCAGGGCTTTAATGAGCCAATTAGTTAAATCAAATCATGAAGGAGAAAAACCAAGATGATGGCAAAGGCAGCATTAAGTCAAAGCATTTTGTAAATAAATGTAGGATGAACTCCACTATAAAAACAACTTAGGAGTTGTTTCATAACGAGCTGTTCACAGCTCCATCTGCACTGTGTTCGAACAAGGTCCCCCAGATCCTCAGGGAAGCCTGGGCCGTCTCCCATTTTACAACATGACATACCCACAATGCAGGGGGTTTCCTCACAGTGCCGGGATGCTGTTTAGTAAAGTTCTAAGAAACAATCTCTTACTCAAAAGGGCACTGGTAAGCCCAGAAGGTGAGTCATCATACAATTAAATTTCCTGATGACAGGTGGAAGGTGGCTTTGGCTACGAAGGGGGGCTTGTCCGTGTGGACGTTTATCACAGCCCAGGCAGGTTTAGACCTGGACTGCATACCCTGGAGAAAGGTCACAGCTGCTGGCAGAAAGAAGTCGACCATGTGCACTTTGCGCCCCAACTTGCCTGTCCATCCTCTACACAGCAGGTAACTCCTCTTTATGGGGAGAGCCCAATAAAGTCAAAGGGACCACGATTTTCTCTGCCCTGATTACTAACCCAATATAAGGAAGCAACACACAAGGCAGGTGGTAGAGAGTCCCAGAATTTAGGGGTGCTGAGAGGCTATCTTTTTTGTTCAGTCATTTCAGTTGTGTCTGACTCTTGGTGACCCCATTTGGAGTTTTCTCAGCAAAGATACTGGAGTGGCTTGCCATTTCGTTCTCCAGCTGGTTTTACAGATGAGGAAACTGAGGCAAACAGGGTGAAGTAACTTGCCCAGGGTCACACAGCTATTAAGTGTCTGAGGCTAGATTTGAACTCAGAAAGATGAGTCTTTCTGACTCCAGGCCCTGAATTCTAACCACTGCACCACCTAGCTGCCCTCAGAGGCTACCGAGTCTGACCCACACTTGACTGAGAATCCCTTCTCCAATATGCCCGTTGAGTGGTCATCTAATCTTTGACCAAAGATATCCAGTAAAAAGAACCCCGCTACCTCCCCAGGCAGCCTGTGCCACTTGGTAATTTCTCTAATTATTAGAGAGTTTTTCCTTACATCAAACCTAAGTTTACCCATTGTTCAAACTGTGAAATAGGAGAAGTAGGTTGAAATAACTCACAGGGAGGAGAAAAGGTCTACGTATGGAGTAGCCAGGGTTTGTCTTCCTTTAAATCCACACAGAAGAATGTTTAGCGCCCCTCCAATCCTATCCAACAAGCATTTATTAAGCGCCTAACAGGCATAAGGTGTCTGCTAGGCTCTATGGACATAACCACAAAAGAGAAAAAAAAAAACAGCTGCAGGCCTACAGATCACCCCATGAGAGTATAAGCTCCTTAAGGGCACAAACTGTCTTTTGCCTCTTTTTGTATCCTCAGCACTTAGCACAGTGCCTGGCACATAGTAGGTGCTTAATAAATGCTTGCTGGATAGGACTGGAGTGTCACTAAGCGTTCTTCTGCATAGATTTAAGAGAAGACATTTAAGTCAGAGTAAATGACTGACTGACATTTGTACGGTTTGGGGACTTGTACTGTTGAATACCTCATCCTGAGCATCTCACTGAGAAAGACCCTAAGATCTCTTTCAACAAACCACCATGGGCCCATGACTTCCCCAGTCAGCACTTCTGAAATTGACTGTTTGAGCTCAAGTATAAGACTTTACATTTAATCCCACTGAATTTCTTCTTATCAGACTCAGCTCAATGCTCTAGCCTGCCAAGATTCTTTCGGATCTTCATTCTGTCCCGTTGTGTGTTAGCCGGCCCCTCTCCTACCCCAACCCCAGCTTTGAGTCCAGTGAATCAAGAAGGATGAGGCAGGAAACGGGGTTTAACCTACAGGACTCAGGCCGTGCAAAAATACAAAACTTTCCATGGGGTGAACTGCTTTTGTCTATCTTACCAATTAACGTCTGTCCTATGAGACAGGGCCAGCCAGGCGATGTTCCAATTTGGCTAAGACAAAAATAACAACAACAAAAAACCTCCCGAACATTTTTCAAAGTAGTGTATTTACTAATTTAGACATGGCCTTAGTCCTTCCATCCTAACCACTGCTTCTCCATGAAAACACAGGCAGCCTATGACCTTTTTAGACAAGTATTTTCTAGAATTTTCCCCTATTACTCAGATTATAGACCAAATTCCATTCTCAGGATATGTGCACACTGGATAATTAAAGTACTTGATTTCCAAAAATTCCAGAGAGCAGTGTGTTCAACAAACAAAAAAAATGATTTATAGAAACACCAGATGAGTGCTCAGACTTCTGACTCGTGGCATCTATGTATGAAAGCAGGACCATAATCTTCCCTTTTACAAATAATAAACTTGGTCCTCAGCTCTCCTGGTGCACCTGCCAATGACTCCGTTGTGAGTGATTACCAACTCCTATACCACACTGCTGAAGTGTGAAATTAGTGCAGAGGGTAAAATCCAGCAACAGCATCCTCCAGAGGGAGTGGGGCCTTATGGTAGGGAAAAGTCCATAAAGAGGGAGCTAAGAAATGCAATGAGAATCTACAGAAAACCAAAGAAATGGCTGCCAACATCTTAGTACTCATATCACCATCTAAACTATACCATGGCACCTTAGAGCATTAGGAGAATTTAAGCCTTTTGAGGGCAAGGACCCTCTGACTTTCATATCTGTATTCCTCATGACCGAGCATGGTGTCTGACATGTAGGTGCTTAATAAATGCTCACTGATATAGTGAAGTCCTGATTAGTGTGAAAAGTGAATTCCATGAAGCATCTGAATTTGCACTATTTGAAGTTATAATTAAGTAAATCAGTTCCAGTCCAACGGAAATATTTGGTACAAATTCAAATTAAACTCTGGTCTTCCTAACTTCAGGTCTAAATATTCAATCTATCGTACCACCTAAATGGCCGCAGTTTTCTGGTAGACTGCTTGATTCAACATTTATTAAGTGCCTAGTGCATGCCAGGTACTGAGCTAAGTACCACGTATACAAAGGCATAAATTAAATAGTCCCTGTCCTCAGAGAGCTTACATTCTACTAATCAGGAGACATCACCAGTCTTGACCTCCAAGGAGGTGGCAGGATCAGCTGTCTTTCTACAAACAGAGCTATTTCCATGGGTCTATTTTGTACCCAATATCCTCAGATTAATCTGGGACCAGGCTGGCCCTGATGTGGCCTCTAGAAAAGAGAGAAGGGGAAATTCCAGGAAATTTTCCTAACACCATCCGGCATTTGGTCAATCCTGATCTGCTCAGTTACAGTTACAACATGTAGGTAACATCGAATTGATTTCTTCTTGGCCATGGTACTTACTTTCTTAATGAAATTCGGGATGATTTTTTGGTCTGTCAGGTGGTCCAAGGAGGAACAGCAATCTAATTCCAAGATGTACCCTTCATTATGAAAATCATTTTTCTGAGATCTGATGAGAGAAGAAAAACAGACAAAAATTGAGATCCTCTGCAAAGGGGAGAGAGAGAGAATGAATGAATGAAACTGAATCTTTGGGTCACTGGAGCAATTCCTTTTTTAAAATTTTATTTAATTTTATTTTTTAGTGATTAATTGGAAGTCAATGTTGAAAGCTATTACTTTCTTAAAAGTCATGGTCCACAAACATCCCATTCAAGAAAACAATGACTGATGGGCAAAAACGTGAAACCTACTAATGAGTGATATTTACATTGGGTGTCCTCAAAGTCTTAGTGCAGATGCTAAGCAATTAAAGCTTTAAGTTTTAAGATATTAAAAGCTAAGTTTTAAGTTATTAAAACCTAAACTAATACTAAGACTTTTGGGACACCCTGTATCACTCTTTATATCCATCACCTGGTTTGAATCTCCTATGAAGGCATTATTATCCCCAGTCTACAGACAAAGAAACCAAGTCTCAGAGGTGAAAGGACTTGCCCATTGTCATCCAGTCTGTAAATATCGAAGGCAAGATTTGAACCTGGATCTTCCTGGTTCCAAGCCTAGCACCCTATCCATTATACCACACTGTCTCATGTAAATAAATATCCCTATGTACACAACTGAACATAAATGAAATTGAGACCAATGAAAAACAAAAGTGGGAGATGCAGCTCACAATTTCAAGGACGATTTTCTCCAGGGAGGGGGTGTGTGTGTGTGTGTGTGTGTGTGTGTCTGTGTGTGTGTGTGTGTGTGTGTGTCTGTGTGTGTGTGTGTGTAAATCAGTGTAAAGTCTTTCTGGAACGTGATAAACACCTCCACACTGGGTGGGAACTGGTCCCTATATTCTCTGCATAGCAGAGCTGTCCACATGCTCCAAGTGGCCCAGAATCAAAGATGGCCCTAGAGTGGCCCGAAAAGCAGGGTAAGAACCAGTGTCCTGGGCCAGAAGGGACATGTTGCCATCCACACCTCAATCTCTCTGGCTTCCTTTAAATCTCAACTAAATCCCCATCTTCTACAGGAAGCCTTCCCCAAACCCCCTTAATTTCAGTGCTTTCCTTCTGTTAATTATTTCCTATTTATCTTGTACATAGCTTCCTTTGCATATATTTGTTTTCATGTTGTTTCCCCCATTTGGATGCTGAACCCCATGAAGGCAGAGACTTTCTTTTGCTTCTTTTTTTATCCCCAGTGCTTAGCGCAGTGGCTGGCACATAGGCGCTTAATAAATTGTTTACTGTTAGTTTATTACATATTTCAAAGGAAGACCAAGTTGTATATAATAGATTTGCAGCTTCATATGCCATCATCTTTTTATTATACTATGTTATCAAAATGCTTGTTCTGTTCCATAAATTTAAAATAAAATAAATTTAAAAAAATAAATGTTTCTTGGATTGACTGATTGATTTGGGGGGAATTCCCTATATTCCACATGGAAATACATGGATATGGGCAGCTGCCTAGAAAGGAGGACAAAGGGAAGGGAACAAGTAAGTACCTACTATGTGCCGGGCATAAATAACTCATTTGATAAATCACATAGAGCAGCTGCCAGGTATTTGATGATTCTTAGCTCTAACTGGGCAGAAACCCAAGGAAGGGGAGAATAAGAAAGAAGAAACTGGTCATTGGTGTTTCCTCCCCAATCCTCACCCCACCACTACCTTGTGTCTGCTTTGCCTGTATATTCCTATTCACGCACACATGTAATCTCCCCCAACAGAATGGAAGCGTTTTAAAGGTGGGGACAATTCCCTATTTGTCTTGGTAACCTCATCACTTCGTTCAGGGTGTGGAGTATAATAGATGCTTAATAAATGCTCACTGACTGACTCATTCTATAACCGAGGAAGTCGTGCCTCATTTTCTAGCCTTTTGATCTGGCTGGTGAATATTTTAGAAACTCACACTCCCATACGTATTTTTCAAATATCAGCTCTGGAAGCCCCTATAGGATAAAGGCAGGCTACATAAGGAACTGCCCAATCCAGCATGTGAAAATTCCATTTCTAAGGATCTTCAATAATTAAGAGCGACCGATGGAGCATGTGAACCTCAGCTTGTTGGCACGGAGCTTATGATTTACGTGAGATCTGAAATGAAAATTAAAAGGGTGGGGAGAGAATGAATGAGAGAGAAGGGGGCAGAAAACACAGGAGGTGTCATGGGGGGTGGGGTGTCTCAGTGGAGAATGTATGAAAAACTATGCGCAAGAATCACAAGGGATGAAATGGTGGGAAGGGGCTACCGCCTTGGTACAGATCGGCACCCTCTCTGAAACTCAGGACACCTAGAAAGTTGCCTTGGGGCACTGAGAGGTAACATCACTTGCCCAGGGCCACCCCGCCAGTGTATGTCAAAGGTAGATTTTGAATTCATGTCTTGACTCTGGGAATAGCTCGTTATCTCAAGGAGTCTGTCATTTTAAAATGACCAGATGACTTATTCAAAATTGCACTTGACCTAAAAGATAAAGTCTTCCCAACTCACATTATAACCTCACAGGAGTACGATCGGGATTTCTCCAGGTGAGATACACCGAAATTATACCCCAGTCCATTTTCTGGTGACAAAATCCAGAACCTTGGGACACTCATTTCAACCTTTTCCTGCTTTCATGGTTTACATCTACAATCTGAATGGAAAGGACTAGAAGAGGTAACCTAAAAGAAAGGTAGGGAAAGAGCCCAGATATCCGTAGGCAAAGAAAAACCCTAGAAACAAAGAACATACTAGCAAAATGATAGCTTTAAAAAAAGAGCAAAAGAAGGAAGAGAGATATAACTTTCTGTGTCCTTTATTTATTAGGTTTCTTTTGGCCCTGATCTGCGATTACACCCATGTTGGGAACTCCCAGGTGAGAAAACTCCCTCTACCAATGCAGACAGAAACCTTCTTCACAACTTAAAGTTTTAAAAAAGCTGCATGAAGTATTGAGAAGTGAAGTAACTTGCCCAGGATCATACATATCAAGGGCAGGATTTGAATGGAGGTTTTCCTGACTCTGAGGCCAGTTCTCTATTCCCTCCCTGACACCCCTTCCCTACTCAGTTTATTTTAAAAATGCCAACGAATAGAGGTTAAGAGATCAATAGATCAATGTCTACAGGGAGACAGGTTTCCAGTGCTCCAGGGCTTTGTCTGTCCTTCATGGCTTTCTATTCAAAATGTTAACCAATGACTTGACCAGAGGCAGACATGGCATGGCTATCAAATTTACAAGCAGTACAATAGGTGAGAAAGGTAGTTAAGATGGTAAGAAATTTGGGGGGCTCGGAGACTCACACAGCAAAACAAGGATTTCCTCCTAACCCACACTCCCTACAGCCACTCCCCTCAATGATGACTAAGAAACTCAAGGGTTGGCAGACATAACCTGCTATCAAACCACTTGTATAACACTCATATTAACACTGCTTGCTTCCCCACTGTAGTAACAGAATTAGGACTGCTACCTAGTCTTCCCGACCACCTCTGAGCTTTCCTAGAAGAGGCTGAAAGTGCCAGCCCCGAAACCAGGGATGAGCTCTTGAGGGCTGTAGTCTTTTGTCTCTGGAGTTCCTAGTCAGTGACAGAGCTTTGGGGCACTGTGGGAAGGGACTTACACCTTTCTTGGAGGAGACAAAACTTAGGGGAACAAGGAGGAAAGCCAAAGTACTCCCAGTGCCTCTCACTGACCTTATCTGAAGGTGGGTTAGGCTCTCTGATGTGTGACCCTGAGCAAGACACTCAACCTATCTGCCTCAGTTTCCTCACTTATAAAATAAGGATAATAACAGCACCTATCTCACAGGATTATTGTGAGTATCAAATGACAATGTTTGTAAAGTGATTAGCATAGTACCTGGCACACGATAGGCGCTTTATTCTTATGCTTCTTCCTTTCCCTCCCCCTTTCGTTGTTTCCTCAGTGCTTAGCACAGTGCCTGACAAATAGTCGGTGCTTAATACATGGTAGCTGATGGCCTAAAGCCAGGCAGGAATACCACCTGTAGTGGATGAGAGAGCATCGGGTGAGCCCTGGGTGAAGGCCAGGGGAAGGGAGCGATAGTACTCCCCACACAAGGTGAGAAGTCCATGCTCCAGTTATTTCCATCTTTGCTTAGGAAGTATCTGACTACAAGGGGTGACATTAGGACACATCCTCTTTACAACTCAATCAATTACTACCATGTCAGCAGAGTGGCCTCCTCCTAAGAGACATCTGCTGTGACTCCTGCAGTGGAGGAGGTCAATCCAAAAGAGTTTCCAGGAAAATGGTTTCCACTAATCAGTAAACATTCATATAAATTCCTATTATGGGAAACACGGGTTGCAGAAGTTCTCAAAATGTGGGCTGGAGACCCTCCCAGGGGGTCTTTGAAGGCAAAACTATTTTCATAATAATAACACATTTTAATTTTTAATACAGTAAATAATGCACATACTAACTCACATAAACAAAAGCTCTTTTTTGGGGGGAGGGTCCTCAACTATTTTTAAGAGTGTAAATGGGTCCTGAGACCAAAAAGGTTGAGAACCTTTGGCATAGTGAAGGGAGAAAAGTGGCCTCAAAGCCAGGAGAGCCTGGTTATCTCCTGCCTCTGACATCCTGGCTGGGGGCCCTGGGCCAAAGGCTTACCTCTCTCAGGGCTCCAGGAAACCCCCTAAGGCTTTAATCGTACAGAGCGTTTGCTTCAGTAGAAGAAGCTGAGTGAAATCACAGGCCCAGCCCCATCTCTAGGCTGTGAGCTAAGTTAGGTACTGGGGAGACAGAAGCAGAACAATCCTTACTTTGGAGGAACTCACATTCTGTGCAGGAACCAACATGTCAACACAAGATAGGTACATGAAATAAACTCAAGGTGACAGGAAAGTGGGTGGGTTTCTTGAGAAAACTCCAGTTCATAGAAGAAGCTACTGGCCTGCCACTGGAATGATGCTGAGATAATTTCTATTCAAAGTAAGGGCAACAAAAATTCAATTAAAGCAATAAAGAACAAGATTGCCGTACACAAAATG